TCGTTTGTCATCCTCACGGTGTTCGGCGATTGGTTGCGTGGTTGGAGGGTGGGCGTTGCGCGGCGGTTTGTTTTTAATTTTACAAACTGCTGCGTAAGTCCGGCGGTGATTGGTCGCATGTTTTACCGCATGACGCAGTCGCTCGCTCCTTAAGTAGAGAGCGTCTGCGTCAGCGGTCTGTATAAAAGGCACTTGTTTTGGCTCGCCGCTCACTTAGCGGTTAGCCACCGTAGAGTCTATATCACCTGAGGATGCCTCGTGTAGAGGCGAAACACGTGTCGTATTATCGTCAGTGGTGTGTCTTGCCTAGTGTAGTGGCATTGGGAGTAGCGGTGCTGGGATTAGTGGTGACGGGGATAGTGCACGCAATTGAGGGAGGGCGGGAGGTGCTCTTCATACTAGGTAAGACACATCATTTTATTTTATAACGCGGATATTTGCGAAGTAAATTATTCTAAAAGCTTTTCTTGTATTTTGATACTGCTTTATTTTCCAAGTTAATCTAGATGGGCAAGGTTCGGTCACACAGGTACAATATGTTAATCGAAACGTCATTATAAGATTATCTTTTGGCGTTCAATAACCTATTCAAGTAAAATCTTGTCTCAATAATGATTGTAGATGAAAGAGGATTATTAAAATTTTATATTAAAATTATCGAGTGGTGGTTCTATTGTGTGATTCTATTATCTCGCCTATTCAATTATGGAAATCGTTTGTGTGCCCGTAAAAAGGCAAAGAACATGAGACATACAATCACGAGCCACAAGTATTTATATTCCTATTCAGCGTAGTCATGTGAATTTTCTATAGAACATAATTTGAAAGTCAAATAATATTTTTGTAGAGGCGACTAAGTCATTTGTGCATCTTTAAATCCACTATATTTAATAGGCCTTTTCAAATTGCAGCAATTAAAGGCACGCAACGTTGAAATATTAGTCAGTGCCCTACCCTCCACGTTAGGTAGACTGGTTGTTAAGCGCAAATGCATTAAACTGGTAATATCGTTCTCCTTAAATTTCACAGTACGCGAGCAACCTGGGTTCGAACCCCTCCGTCACCATTGAAATTGTTAATTGCAATTTTAAGTGCTGATTTACCACGTACTCGGTGGTGAAGGAAAACATCTTGAGGAAACCTGCATGTCTGAGAAATAAGATAAAGAAATATTTCGAAGACGTGAAGTTCGCCAACACGCATTAAGGCAGCGCAGCGGACATTTTCTTGTCCTAAAACTGTCTCAGAAATGAGAGGAAGCATGTGCCCAGCAGCATATAGAGGTTATAACTTTAACTTTTCTTACCAGTCCGTAGTATGAGGTTTGTCATACTCGAATGTAATCTAGACCAGGGCTTCCCAACCTTTTTTTGACCAGGGACCACTTTGATTTTTTTGTAGTTAGCAAGGACCACAGGGTGGAAGAAAAAATGTGTTAATCTAACAACAAATTATAGCATAGCATTCATTAACAGTATTATTTGTGTATTTATTGTAAAAACTTGCTATTATTTATTCTGTGGTAAAAGCTAGTAGGTACTTACTAACGTGACGCGCGGTTTTGCACTGCCTGCGTGACGAGAAAATAATAAATGTGTTAGGTAATTTAAAACGGTTAGGTAGGTAAAATATTTAATTTTTCGTGGACCATATTTAAGCTCTTCCGCGGACCACTGGTTGGGAATCACTGATCTAGACACACGGCAGTGTGTTACCAAGTTAAGAATAGAAAATGGCGACGCATAATAAGGAATCCCTTGAATACCTAGGAAATACAAGTTATAAGACATGCATATAACAAATTTTGAGTTTTTAAGGACACAAAAGTGCTCTTTTTAGCAAGTGACATCAAGATACATCATTAGGCGTTTACAAAGTGTTAACTCTAAAACCTAAAATATATATATAAAAATGTTTGGTGTCGACAAAATTATGGTTAGTATCAAATTCATTTAATTCTTATAATTTGAATTTGGGTTGATATTTAAAGCTATTAAATATATAAAATAGCTTTTTGGCGACAATTCAGGTATCAACATTTTATCGAAGCCGACAAGCACGCAAGTCGTTTGTATCGAACGAACTTGCCCCCGCTAAATATACATATGTGCATGTTATTGCGGAAAGTAGTTGTTGCGATTATGGTCACTATTGAAATTTAAATAGTTTTTAATATATTTAATTGTTTTTTTTTTAAACGAAATTAATTTTTATGGGGATTATCTTTAGTTAGGTCAGTCAATGTAGCTAGTTAAGATTTTAAAGTTATTACGGTGACAATTTTAATTATGTGGTTTTATTTTGCACATGGCATGGTGATATTACAATTATTTCCTAGCCATTATTTAATTTTACGTGTATGTTACAACTAAAAACTGGACTCGAAATTAAAACTGTGAACTCGCTCCAGCATTACAATACGTTTGATATAGTGTTGTTAATAAACTGTTGTCATTTACTTAAGGAATTTGTAAAATAACTAATTGGTTATACATCATAATAAAAATAATTACATAGACACATTTTATCCTCGACTATAAGTGCCTGCTGCTTTATCTTATTAATGATTGTTACTGATTTTTAACTAGCTATGAAATGACGCTCGAAAAGCTCAAAACTTCGTAATGGAATGGATGGAACGTTTGTCGAGCGTTTTAAGATCGAACATAGTGGGAAGTGCCAGGGAATAGCCTGAAGGATCAACCGTATTTTTTTTCTACAAACCATGTTACCTATCGGTTTTTTTTCTACAAATCATCACCGGCTAGTTTATGTTGGAAGAAAATGTCGTACTTTACAATTTTTTCTAGACGTGCATGAGAAGTCATTCACAAACTTAGAACTTCGCAATTTTTGTCATTATAAAATGTCGAAGAAATTTAATTACGGAGCTAAATTTCTTACAAAATTGACGAAGAAAAATATATACTTTACTAGTGAGATTAAAATTGACATAAGCATAAGATCTACATGGCTTTATTAAATCTTCGCTAAATAGAATTAGAAATTTAAATTTGTTATGTCTGTGTATTATATTTAGTATATAAATTTATTAAGTATTCATGAAAATATTTTAAGAAAATATAATTACACGATCTATTATTTGACAATAACTACGTCTACAATAGTTATTGTCGTACTTGAGAAAGATTTCTATTATTTTTCTCGATATTATAGCTTTTATTTGTAATTTTTTGTGTTTTAATATGATATATAAATAAATATATATCTTTATTTACATATCATATCAATAAATTATAAAATTAAATTATATCTACATATTATATATTTTTTCCTTGTGAAAAAGGCCAGGTCAAGAGTACCCTAAACCGAAGAGCATGTATGAAGGGAATAATCAAAGTGAACGAAGCGAAACAAGTATGTAAGGATCGTAGCAAGTGGAAAGAAGTGGTCTCTGCCTACCCTTATGGGAAAGAGGCGTGATTATATGTATGTATGTATATTTTTTAAACTGAAGTGACAAGCGAACTTACAACCACTTGCTGGTAATTGTCTACTGCAAGGAAGCCTGCAGCTAACTTCATATAAAGAAGGCTGCAGAGGCGTTGTCACCTCTGAGGACTTGATGGAATACCTCACAGTATGATAATATACTAAAGAGGCAATGGGATGGTACCTACATAGACGGACTCCTGGGTAGATAATGAGTCCCACCATCTAGTTAATATTATTGACATGGTAAAGTCACACCACAGTTTAACTACTCTTAGGCTGTGCTCACATTGTAGCTGTATTATGGCTGCCCCATGAATGGCCCGTCTCGACCGGGGAAGGAACACGTTCTCAGAAGCGTAACTTTGCAGTACAATGCTGCTGTTTCCTATGGTGAGTGTTGAGAACCGGAAACCCTTGCAATGTAGCTTCTTCTTTTTTATTGGCCTTATAAATTCACCGCTGTATGTAAGCCTTTTTAATGATGCGCCAAGTGGTAGGAATATCTTAGTAGATGTACACAGACACTCATCATATCTTCTCCACTGGTGTCGCCGTTCCCCATAACCAGGAATTACAAGATTTAATCTGTACGGAGTAAAATTCATTGTGCCACCTACCGCAAAGGCCAGCTTGTTTATTTAAAAAATATTGTCGCCGCTTTAACCACAAAATAAGTCAACAATGGGCGGATTTAATGTCAGTTTCTTAAAAGGATATCCAAACAGCGATCAGTATATTTAATACAAACGTATTTTTTCTGTTTTTTTCTTGGATAATGAAGCTGAAGCAAAAATCACTTTTAAGGTAAAAAAACTCTATGTTTTTTTCTTTCGTAAATTAACTATTTCTAAAACTAGAAACATCAAATTACTAAGACTGCCTAGTTATACTGCCGTTATAAGACGTCGACCAAGCAGATTTACCGAAAATAAAAAAGAAAAATATAATAATATAGCAAGATTCCTTATAGTTCTGTGCTTATACAAAAAAAGGAGGAGAAAACTGGTGATTATCAGATTACAATTTCGCGAATTTTTCGTAGTTATAATCAGTTCAAACTTCAGTTGTCTTTCTCGGTTTTCTAACTGTCATTTGTACAGAGCGCGACAGCAAAAGATCGTCAAAAATGTTATGTATCCTCTTAAATATGAGTTTTTTTAAAGAATGGGGTTGACAAACGAGTAGCACAGTCCACCTGATGGTAAGTGGATGCTGTGGCCCATAGAATTTACATTTATCTTCGATTAAGAATCAAAATGCAGATACGTTGTCACACCTGAGGACTACGATGGAATGCCTCGTTTCTAGTAAAAGGGTCTCCAGTTTTCTACACTCACCATACGAAACACATCAGCATTAAGCTGCTATTTGACGCTGGTATACTGTAACAGCGTGTTCCTTCCCCGGTAGGGCCGACCCATTCGTGCTACATGCATAATATAGGTGCAGCGTGGCTCTACCACATAACTGACAAAACTTGAATGAAATATCTGTTACCTAAAGTTTTACGTGATATTTAAATGAAGTAAAATTGAATTCCTTACCTTTTCTTCACAACTGCAACTAAAATGATGTGTTGAGTGTTCTTAATTCCTCTTATAGTTCTGAAACAAAAAGAGAGTAATATTGAAAACTTCATAATAATCCATCGTCAGTTTGAGGTGAAAATATACGTAACCGACTCATTTAATTTTGTACTAAGTGAAAAACAAAGGTATTATTCATTCGTTTTCAATTTTGTGTAATTAGGACAAAAGTTAATCTTTATTAAAATATCATTTTATAGAATAAAGGTGACCAAAGAGTATACAGTCCACCTGATGGTAAATAGATACTGTGGCCCATAGACATTAATCTCCGATTAAGGATCTAAATGCAGATGTGTACATTCCATCTTAGATCTAAGAGGACTGAGATCTGATCTGATATCTGAGATCTTAGATGGAATGCCTTGTTTCCAGTAAAAAGCTGCTATTTTATGCTGGTATTCTATGAGATCCTTGGTGGTCCTTCCCCGGTCGAGCCGACCCATTCGTGCTACAACTATAATATCTAGAATGGCTCTACCATGTATTTTTGGCTTAGATGACAGTTAAGAAATTGTGTTTTTTACTTCCTTCTAGCCCAAAATTCAACTATTATCCTAAATTATCACGTTTTGCGACAGTTTAATTACCTTATAAATAAATAACCAGCCAAGTGCGATTCGGACTCGCGCATGACGGATGCCGTACCATCACAAAACACGTTTCTAGTGGGGGAGGCCCCTTTAATTTTTAATTTATTTTTATTATATTATGTTGTTATAGCGCCAACAGAAATACACATTCTGTGATAATTTTAATTTTAACTGTCTACCTATTACGGATCACGAGATACAGCCTACTGACAGACAGATGGACGGACAGCGAAGGCTCAGTAATAGGGTCCCGTTGGTTACTCTTCGGCAACGGAACCCCAAAAATGGTCGGGTGAGAGGGCGGCGTAAGATAATTCTCTACCAGATTTCGTACCCCCGGTACGAAATCGGGTAAAGAATTATCTTTGGTTGGAGGCGATTATGAGAAATTCTAGAGCAAACTTTTATTTTATTAAAAAAATCATATTATTACCCTAGATGTAAAATACTTACAACGCCGATAGGCCGTAGCATCCGAAGTGTGATACGCCGAGTATTGCAATCATCAATCCGATTGTCAAGAGTATTAGCAGGAGTGAGTAATTAAGTTGAATCCTTCCCTACAACAGGCGATGGCGCATGTTCGGCAGTAGAATTTGACGGGATGATGATTTTTTTTATAGTATTAGGGTGACAAACAAGCAAACAGTCAACAGTCAACATTTTTACGTGGTAGAGCCATGTTACAGCTATATTAGTAGTATAGTTGTAGTACGAATGGGTCAGCTCGACCGGGGAGGGACCACGCTCTCACAGAATACCAGCGTTAAATAGCAGCTTAACGCTGCTGTGTTTCGTATGGTGAGTGTAGAGAACCGGAGACCCTTTTTACTGGAAATGAGGCATTCCATCTTAGTCCTCACGGGTGATAACGCATTTGCATTTTGATTCTTTATTGAGGATAGATGTAGATGTCTATGGGTCATAGCAACCACTTACCATCAGGTGGTTTGTGTGCTCGTTTGTCACCCTATCCTGTAAAAAAACCTCTTTATTTTTTAAATTCAAAATGCGTGGTAATGGTCGATCAGTAGGCAAAAACGTTGTTGCCCATAAATCACATTCAATTTGGGATAATCTCAAATAAAAGCATAAGCCTTAATTACTCGTATTTTCTAAAACTGCAATAACGGTATATCACTATTTATATGTTTGAACTTAACTTTAAAATTTGGCTACTCTTTGAAAAATAACTCTGTACATAAGTGGCGTCCTACCACCTAGTTCGGTTCTAGTTATCATTCCACTCTACGACACACTTTAGATAAGACCGTTTATATAAAAGGCTGAACCTAACTATCCGCCCAATCGGAAGTAATCAAAGGAAAACTATTTCCTATTATGCTTTATTCTTTATTCTATTACATCGGTTCTGTCGGAATCTTAAGTATTTAATTCGAAGTTGTTTCTTATGTACTGAAATAGAAAATCTTTCTCTAATTAACATAGAAGTTAATTTAATCGTACGTATATATCTTTGAAATGGTTAATTATTTGCCATATTTAATTTAAACCCTTAATTTTAGTTCCCAATACCGATGGTTAAAAGCAAAATTTCGAATTTTCAACCTCATGTCTGTACTTGAGCATCAGCGTTTAAATAGCGATGCAGAATTTCAGTATCTACGCGATAAAATCTCAGAAAAAAGCGTCCGATAGACTTTTTATTATAGAATAAGGGTGACAAACGAGCACACAGGCCACCTGATGCTAAGTGGTTGCTGTGGCCCATAGACATCCATCTTCTTAATTTATCATGTCTACTCTTGTACTTGAGTTTTTGAGCTATTCGAACTGACTATTTATAGTCCCTGCATCGATTGAAGTTTATCACTCGAGTTGAGAGTAGCAATTACTTTAATTAAAGCATTTTTAAATAGTTACCTTTATTAAAAAATGTAAAATGTGGCAATGTGAAATAAAAAACAAATATTTATTTATTTGTAGTATTTCCATGCTTCTCTTTCATATCTGTAGTATTTCAAAATCTATAAACTGCTTTTTACATATATTACAAAGTACAAATCGCTTCCATCTCGATTTTATTAAATAATGTCACACTGACGATTTTTGTTTTGTTGCGTCATTGTTATCACTGATTGAAACCGTGGTAGCTCAGATGGTTAGCGCTCCCTGTAAGCTTCACATTACTCGAACAACCCGGGTTAGATCCCCGCCGGCACCAATGAAATTGTTAATTGCAATTTTAAGTGCTGATTTACCACGTGCTCGGCGGTGAAGGAAAACATCGTGAGGAAACCTGCATGTCTGAGAAATAAGAAAAAAAATATTTCGAAGACATGTGAAGTTCGCCAACACGGTTTGGGGCAGCGCGGCGGACATTTCCTTGCCCTAAAACCCTCTCAGAAATGAGAGGAGGCCTGTGCCCAGCAGTGGGACGTAAATAGGCTGCAACTTTACTTTTAACTTTACTGTTATCACTGATACTTTAAACAAACTAAAATATGTTTAAATCATCTTTTATGTTATCCACTACTAATACGAAGTAACAGTACGAAGAATAAACAACAATGATAGCACAATCACGATAATAGAAATCAAACTAAGTTCATATTTGTTTACAACATGCCAAGATGCAAGTTTTCGATGTGTTTTTTTTTTATAGGAGAGGGGGCAAACGAGCATGCGGCTCACCTGATGGTAAGTGACTACCGCCGCCCATGAACAACCGCAACACCAGGGGAATTGCAGATGCGTTGCCGGCCTTTTAAGACACACCACCGACGACAATACGACACGTGTTTCGCCTCTACACGAGGCATCTTCGGGTAATTTAGACTCTGCGGTGGCTGACCGCAAAGTCTTTCCTAGTGTAGTGGTGTTGGGAGTAGTGGTGCTGGGATTAGTGGTGACGGTGAGAGTGCACACAATTGAGGGAAGGCGGGAGGTGCTCTTCAAACTAGGTAAGACACATCATTTTATTTCATCGAGCGGATGTACGCGAAGTAATTTTTTTACCAACTTTAATATAATGGACTTCCGCAAAGTAACGCCTGTTTCTATTAATTATAATGGACTAATCGGGAAAAATACACAATATAGAACCTTCTAGTCTTTTGAACTCGTTTAAAATAGCCTATATTATTTCATATGAATTATTATGAATAACACATAAGGTATGTTATTCATTTCTGATAAATTGGTAATGTAAGCAAAAATTAAATTGACCATTATGCCTAAGAGAGATTCCCATTGCAATCTTATTCCTTACTTATTCACTAAGCTCTTTGCATAATGCGCCGAGGGAGATTGGTCACCGGCTGACGTTGATTGAGGACGTCTCTTAGGTATATAAATAAATTATATGTTCTGTTATATATCCGGAGAAGCAATGTCTATCATCTACACTTCTACACTATATAATATAATTATAATTTATATTATAATTATAATATACACGCTTTATCATCAAGTTATCTCGGCACATTACTTGATGGGGTAAGCTTACACATTGCCGTAGAAATCCGACTAGGAGCGGTGATTTGTCAACCCCATCAGTGCCCCTGTGGTAGCAGCGTCGACGAGTTTGGGCTCCACGGACTTCCATGTAAGAAAAGTGCTGGTAGGTTTTCACGGCACGGTTCTTTGAACGATGTCATCCAAAGGGCTCTTGTCTCTATAAATGTTCCCTCGGTTTTAGAGTCTTGTGGAATATTTAGAGACGATGGCAAAAGACACGACGGTATGACGTTGGTCCCCTGGGAGAGAGGTAAAGCCCTCTTGTGGTATGCAAGTTGCGTAGACACTTTGGCGGCCTCTCATCTCAGGGGTACCTCGTTTAGAGCCGGGGTGGCATCAGAGGCAGCTGAACTGAGTAAATGGCGCAAATATAAGTCTCTGAGAGATGACTACAAATTTTATGCAATTTGCTGTAGAGACTATCGGTCCGTGGGGTCTACGTGCGGTGAAGTTTATAAGTAAACTCTACCCGCGACTGGTCGTTACTCCTGGTGATAAGAGGGCTGGTTCTTTTCTCGCTCAAAGGCTAAGTATAGCCATTCAGCGAGGAAACGCAGTCAGCTTTCTTGATACTATACCACGTGGACGGGGACGGGGACTGTATAATAATTAAGTTATTAGTTTTAGTTTTTTTATTATAGTTTTTTAATATTGTATATAATAAAATATTGTATATTATGTTATGTAAATAAAAATTAAAAATTTAAATTCGGGATTTTAGAAGTTTTAAGAGTCTAACACAAAGCGTAAAATAGTGGCACCTGAAAATGTTAACCGACCAAAGATTTTATATTACTCCTTAATAGAGATAAATGGTTTGTGGACGACCGCTTTCAATGATGTTTTTTTTTTTTTTTTTTTTTTTTTTTTATAGTATAAGGGTGACAAACGAGCACACAGTCCACCTGATGTTAAGTGGTTGCTGCGGCCCATAGACATCTACATCTATCTTCTGTTACAAATCAAAATGTAGATGCGTTGTCACCCGTGAGGACTAAGATAGAATGCCTCATTTCCAGTAAAAAGGGCCTCCGGCCACCTGCACTCACCAAGCGAAACGCAGAGGTAAACCTCTACTTCACGCTGGTTTTCTGTGAGGTCGTGGTACTACCCCGGTTCGAGCCGGCCCATACGTGCGACAGCAAAAGCTGCCGCGTGGCTCTACCACTGTTAAAATGTCCTCACCAATTGTGACCAATGACCAATTTACTCAGACCAATTCAATCAGATCGATAACAGACTGAACAGCACATATTATAATATTTAAATATAATAGATAATAGTATATTTAAAGTAACGCGAGCTTATACGCTAATTCCAATCATAAGGTCATTCATCTATTGCCTCCATTACAGACCATAAAAGTCCACTGCTGATCATAGCGGGACTTTTTGTGAACATTAACTTACAATATAATAATTAAGAAAACATTTCGACACATCATCGATATCAACTTATTCCCGGAGGCTCTATCATTGTACTTATATGTATTTATAAGTAGAATAATAACCCTTATTTCGTAAAAAAATATCTTTTTAACATATTTTCTGAAATTTTGTCGTTAAAGCGTATACATTGCTCCATGAAGCAGTTTGAATACATATGTCTTATTATAACAAATTCCGAGAAAAATCTCAACATGTTTCAAAAGCTCATGAGCAGAATTCCCCAACGTAATTTTGTACCTTTAAAATTACTCGGTCGATGAAAAGTATATAGATGTAGGTATAGATAGTTATCTTTAGTCATGAAACAAGGATATTTATATTACAATAGGGTCTAATTTTGTTGATTGGACAAAAGCGCGGTTGACTTTGAAATAAGTTCAGTCTAAAAACGAACCACAACAGAGAGGCTAATGAAGCAAAAGGAAATACATCACTGTGTTCCAATGAGTGTTGTCCATGTTTTCAACATAATGTATTGTTATTTATGAGGCATAGAGTGTAATGCCTCGATGGTATAGAGGTCACAAGTGTAACTGCTGACCCCCCAGCCCGCGTTTTAATCTCAGGACTTAGTTATTGTGTTTTTGCGAAGCAATTTTTAGTACCAGTCGTGCCCGTAGATCTCTCTCCAGCCGAGTCTTTCAGTCCCATTGGATTATGTGAGAGACAAGATAGAGCAATAAAAACATTACCATTATTGAATAAAACTAGCTTTACGGATTTTATTTTTTTCGGATTTTTTTTTGGTAGGTATAATGGTAATGTAATGTACCATTATATCAAAAATAAATAAGTAAACTTAGTGGGGTGGAGCTTTTTGAACTCTATTATTATTAATAATACATTAATAATAATAGAGTTCAAAAAACGAGAAGATACTACTATATTCGGCGCGTATATTTTTTGTATATATTTATCGATTTCTCAGAAACGACTGAACCGATTTTAGTGATTTTTTAAATTAGATTATACTTCAAAGGTCCCACATAAACTGATCAATTTAACAATTTACATGACGATCTAGTTGTTACTTTGAACTTGTGATATGCCGCGTAGCTCTACCATTTTACAGTGGTAGAGTCACGCGGCAGCTTTTGCTGTTGCACCTACGTGGCTCGAGCCGGGGTGGTACCACGACCTCACAGAATACCGGCGTGAAGTGGAAGCTCTGCTTCTGCGTTTTATCTGGTGAGTGCAGGTGGTCGGAGGCCCAATCCCCCCCCCCCCATCAACATGGTAGCGGGAATTAAATGAAGGACTACCCCAGGAGGGTACCAGCACCCCTGGAGAATCCCTCGGTGAGCATCCACGACCAAGCTACTCCACTCCTGACCATGACTGCTCAGGCTACCCCACGTAATATGGGGGGAGGGGGGAGGGCGAAATTCCGCTCAAGACAATTACTGCTCGGAGCAAGTTGAGCAACAAGACCAAGGCGACCTCTGCCACGCTATCCGTGACTTTCTACAACATCAGGGGAATTTCACTCGAACCTAAACACGCCGTCCACTACCAAGACCAAGACGCAGGTGTCCTCTCCGGCTGATACTTCGTACCTGTCCAACCGGGGGTACAAATTGGAACAGTGCCTTATTAGTTATACTGATTAGATTGTAATACTACTAGACTCTACAGTGCCATAGTTATTTTAAGCCATAAAAGTGTTCTTAGACTTTATTTATTTTGTATGGTTAACGTTACATTTTTCCTTTATGTTGCTAAAAAAATGCACGTAACTCAATAAATAGATTTTACATGATACTTTTTAAAAAATACAATATTTATTACCTTAATAAAAATAAAACTAAAATTTAAGTTGAATCGAATTTACTGTATTTACGAGTACATCTCAGTTGTTATCTCGTAATTGGATTAACCATAAATCATTTAACATTGCCGAAACAAAGATTCGTTGTTAGCGCTAAAAGCTCTTTTCATTTGACATGCCACCAGTTATCTAATTACACTGTACATCAAAAATGTCGAAACAATTCGACACTGGTTCAATAACGTGATGTTAATGGACTGTATTATTGGAAATGTTTGAAAATGAGTGAATAAAAAATGTTAGTTCTTAAATTTTCTCTGTTTTTATCATACCAAGCATGTTATACGAGGGTAATAAAATTCTACGAATAATATTATGATCTCAAGAGAAACATCAACATTTTCGCAAACATTTAGCACCACGCTTGGCACCGAGTCACAATTATTATTGAATCCGAAACAGCCATCTATAAATAAAATAAATTTGAAGTCTGTCTGAATATTGGAAATAATTGCATTTTATTGAGCTCAGTGGGTTATTTAAAATCACCATTTTTAATTTTTTTGACTGTCTGTCTGTCTAGGCTATCCTCGAAATGGTTGATCTGATTGTAATGAAATTTTACGAACAGTTCTATCGTTTCGTAGCAATGCTAGGAGTGATCTAAGCAATATTTTATCCGAGAAAATCTGTTTTTTTGTTTAGAAATCCAAAAATTGATTTATAAATGGTCTTTGATAACTATCTTAAATCTAAATATCACCCCATTAATAGATCCTAGGGCAAAGCAGGAGCTAGTGGCAAATAAAAAGTAAGCTAGAATTGGCCGAGTTAATTTTTTAAAGTGAATTAAATATGGTTCGTATTTAATAAGAGTCCATTTGTATGTAAGTTTTGAATATAATATTATTTATTTTAATAAAAATACAAGGGTTAAAATCATCAGTGGCAAAACGGCAAATGAAATTATATATTGAATAATTGCAGTGCAAATTATATTGCGTTATATTTTTTAAGTTTCCTAAAAAAGAGCAAAAAGAAAAGGTAATTGTAGTCGTCCAAGATATACGCACTCGAGTACGTTTGTTTGTTTGTTGTTACAGCAGCCCTGGTTTGATGCCCGCCGGTATTGATAAAATTGTAAACTGAAATTTTGAGTGCTGATTTACCACGAGCTCGGCGGTGAGATTTCGTAAGGAAACCTACATGTCCGAAGAATAAAAATATTTTGAAGTGAAGTCCGCTAACAGATACTGGAGTCGCGCGGCTAACATTGACTCAGTATTTTCTCAGGAATAAGAGGAGACCTGTAGACAGTAGTGAGACTATATGTATCTTCGCACTATGCGGTGGACATAAAAAGGCTATCGATTATGTGGTGAGATGTTATTTGACATTTTTCTATATAAAAAACTAAATAATCAGAAATATTAATAACCTACCTAGCTAGCAAGGTAGCATCTAGCGCCTGCGGTTGACGCGCGTCAACCACAACAACGTGTGGTAAACGCGAGTCAGGGTCACGGCGGAACGCGTCGAGCGCTTCTCTTGAGCTGCGCACTGCTCGGGCTTCGCCGCCGGTCCGCGTTGCAGCCGCGCAAGCCGCCGCACAAACGCGGGACGCCCGCTCCGGAAACACGCATAGCAGCTGTGGACAAGCAAAGCTTATAGATTATGCTGTCATATCGGCAATTTGAGATGGCGTTGAGCCGGCTATATGGATAGAAGAACCGATAACCAATATTTTGTAATGGCAAGTGAAATGTAGAGCGGCTCCCACTAGATTGCGTGACGACCTCGTAAGAGATTCTGTTTGTGGTTATGGTGGAAGAGGTAAGTCGATGGATGCAAGTGGCTCAGTCAGCATACTCCCAAAATAATTTTATTCGAACTCAAAGTCATTTGGTATTCTCAAAACCTTAGTTGGCATAGAATCGAACGATGCTTCGAATTGCAACTAACAGAAAGGAAGTTTTACTTGTACGTCGCTAGATGGCGCCCGAAATTGCAAGCGACGGGAATGCTTTTTATTTTTAAACCCCGACGCAAAATGGCACATCCCTCATGTTATAAGTTTGACCGCTATGTGTATGTGTCTGTCTGTAGCACCGTAGCTCTTAAGCGGGTGAACCGATTTGAGTGCGGTTTTCTTTATTTATAAACAAGTTTTTAGGCGGCAGTTCTTAGATATATTTTATTAATATGGGTTCAGCCGTTTCAAGGTAATCAGCTGTTTTGTTAGCTGCGGTAGGGTTTCCTTTCGGAGGTTTTTAAAATTTTCAATTTAGGTTTTACTTGATAAGTTTGTCCTTTTTATCTCAATTAATGCCCAAATACTCAAACGACACTCAATTTTAAGATATCGTTACGTCTCATGGTGTCACAGTCACTTTGACTTAAAGTGACAGAGACAGCACGAGACATACATACATACATACATATAATCACGCCTCTTTCCCGTAGGGGTAGGCAGAGACCAGTTCTTTCCACTTGCTACGATCCTTACATACTTGTTTTGCTTCGTCCACTTTCATTATTCCCTTCATACATGCTCTACGGTTTAGGGTACTCTTGACCTGGCCTTTTTTCAAGACGTCGCTGATTTGGTCTAGAAATGTCCGCCTAAGTCTACCCCTTCCAACACTTTCATTAAGACTCGCCTTATACACTTTTTTCGTCAATCGTTCTTCATTCATTCTCTCGACATGGCCAAACCATCTCAGCATACCTTTCTCAATTTTTGTCACTACATCTTCTTTCAGACCACAACGTTTCCTTATCTCACTATTTCTTAGCCTGTCACTCAGTTTAACTCCTATCATACTTCTTAATGCTCTCATCTCAACTGCATTTATTCTGCTTTCATGTTTCTTCTGCCATACCCAAGTTTCACTTCCGTACATGAGTGTCGGAACCAACACCCCCTCATGCACAGCCAAACGAGCCTTGTTAAACACCTTCCGACTGCTCATAAAGGAGTGCAAAGCTCCATTCACCATGTTTCCTGCATTCACTCTTCTTTCGATATCACTCTCACACTTTCCATCTCTTGTAAACTTTGAACCCAGATACACAAACTCTTTCACCTATTCAATTTGTTCATCTTCAATCACAATGTTGCAGTCTGTCACTGCCTCATCTTTTTCAAACACCATCATTTTCGTCTTCCTTACATTTATCTTCATTCCCTTTCTAACAAAAGCTCCACTCATAGCAGTTACCATCTCCTGCAACTCCTCGGCCGAAGACGCAAGTAATACTTGGTCATCAGCATAGAGAAAACATTTGACGAGTAACTCATTCATTCTCAACCCACTTTCATTCTCTTTTAAATCTGTCAAACAATTGTCCATGAACAGATTAAACAGCCACGGTGACGCTACACATCCCTGTCTAACACCTTTTTCGATATTAAACCATTCAGTGTATGCCCCGTTTATCCTTACACAAGCACTAGAATCCCTATAAAGAGATTGCATTGCTCGTATGAGGATACTGCTCACACCGTTCACGGACAGTGCTGACCACAATTCATTCCTCACCACTCTATCATAGGCCTTTTCTAGATCTACGAACGCGCAGTAGACTTTCTTGTTTTTAGCCAAATACTTTTCGGCTATGCACCGCAAGGAAAAGACCTGATCCGTACATCCCATTCCTTTTCTAAATCCCGCTTGTGCGTCCCATATTTTCTTGTCTGTTTCATTCACAATCCTTTCAATCAACACTTTCGCATACAATTTACCGACGACGCTGAGAAGGCTTATACCGCGGTAATTTATGCAGTCCTGCCGTGACCCTTTTCCCTTATACAATGGCACGATTACGGCTTTGCACCAGTCTCCCGGTACTTGCCCATTTCGCCAGCACAGATTGAAAAGGCGGTACAGCTGACTAGCCACCAGGCCCTGTCCAGCCCTCAGCATCTCGACGGTAATCCTGTCATACCCTGCAGCCTTACCTAATCTCATACTTTTCAACGCTTTCACTATTTCATCCATACTTATCTCATTTTCATCAACATTTATATTAGTTTCCGTGGAAGGTGGCAGAGGCTGTACCTGCACTTCCTCTCTTTCAAACAAACTTTCAAAATACTCTTTCCACCTCTTTAACACACATTCTTCTCCTTTTATAATGCTTCCATCTTGACTCCTGATTGTACTCAGCTCCGAGGTAGAAGTTTTTCCTCTGGCTGTTTTGATGGTTTTCCAGAAAAACTTAATGTTTGACTGGAAATCTTCAGTGAGCCTCCTATCGAAATCATCCTTTCGTTCTTCTTTCTTTCTAGACACAATTTCTTTCGCTGCTGTTTTCAATCTTTTATACTTCGTTCTTGCTTCCTTTATCTCGTCGTCCGTTGCCTTTTGAACTTTTTGGTTAGCTTTTGTTGCTAACCAATCCAACCACGCTTTCTTCTTTTCTTGCACAACCTTTTGTACATCTTTATCCATCCACACGTTATCATTCTTTCTTTCTTTCCTTCTTTTAGCCACCCCGCATACCTCAATAGCAACATTTACGACCCCTTTCTTAAATGTCTCCCACAAATCTTCAATCACTCCTATCTCTTCTATCCCTTTAAAACTTTCTTTCAGTTTCTCTACATACTCGTCTTTCTTTTCTTTTTCTTGTAGATTTTCCACTTTACTCTGTCCAAAACACTCGTAGGCTCGGCCACTCGGTGTCGCCACCGTTTAAAGAGGCCCCGCATTCGGGCTATGACCAGGAAGTGGTCTGTGTCGAGGCCTACACCGCGGTATGCCCGAGTGTCTAGCACTTTCTTCCTCAGTCTTTCATCCACAATTACAAAATCAATCATACTTCTAGACTCACCCTCATCTCTTGTATACAAATGGATCTTTTTGTGGTCAAACATTGTGTTGGCCACGCACAGATTCCATTCCAAGCATACTTCAAGCAGGCTTCTCCCATTGTCATTCACTTTCTCGTCCCCAAACGTACCCAGAACTCCTTCATACCCATCACGCTTTACTCCAACCCATCCATTAAAGTCCCCTAACATCACGATCCGTTCATTTTCTCCGCATTTATTCAAGACCTCTCTCATGCTATCCCAAAATTCCTCTCTCTCTTGTTGTGCTTTTAATGACCCACCTCCACGCAGATCCGTCGGTGCATAGACCCCAAGGATAAACAAGCGAGTGAGTCCGACTTTTAACCTAATCCAGAGGAGTCTTGGGCTTATACATTCATGCTCCATCACACATTCAACCATTCGAGATGAAAGAATCACACCAACTCCCTGACAGCCTCGGCTGGTTTGGGGGACTCCCGACCAGTATGCCGTGTAGGGGCCATGGACCGTGGTGTCACATCCTTTCCTCTTGGTTTCGTTCACGCACAGAATATCAATGCAACGTTCATCCATCATCTGACATACTTCATCTACCTTACCATCCATTCCTCCTCTTACATTCAACGTAGCGAAGCGGCTCTCCGTGGGCCGCTTTTCGCCCCCGCGAGAAACGAGACGTGATGGGTGGCGAACCACATCGCCGCCATTTTGGTTAATTAAATTATTTTTATGATTATCCATTGCGTTCCCACGAATAGCGAGGGAAAGGCTTGTCCCCCCCAGCAGAGCCCCGCATGCCAGGGTAAGGCTAGCCTAATTCTGGGGTCGCCCGGTCCCAGGGCAGTGTGGCACGCTAACGACTAGGCTCGTCCCTAGCCATGCATCCATCCGCGCGGCAGACGTTGGATTGGCGGAGGGTAGGAATAGGAAAAGGGGAAGGATAGGTGGTGTGAAAAGGAAGAGTAAGGTAAGTTAGGGTAGGAAATAGGAAATGTAGGATATTACCGTCCAGGAGGGCACGGCATAGGACAGTAATAGCTAGGGAAGCCGGGGTCGCATACCCGTATACCATACCACAACTACCGGACAGGTAAATTGGTATGAGTATCCCTCGACTTAACCTCGATAGCACGAGACGGCATCTTAAAATTGAGTAGCGTTTGAGTATTTGGACTTAAATATTTAAGTTGTGAATTTTAAATTTATTAAATATGACAATTTCGGGAGTAAACCTGCAGGATCGTGCTTTGTGGTATTCCATGGGGGAGGTCTAAGTTCAGCAATGAACTTTTAATGGGTTGTAATAAAGATGACGATGATTACTCGTATTATGATTAACAACCTTCAGAACACCTGATGGCAAGTGGACACATCACACAGTTTAAAGACCTATCTAGTAACTTCCTATCTGTTCTTGATTAAGAATCAAAATGCAAATGTTTTGTCACCCCTGAAGACTATGTTAAAATGCCTCGTTACAATTGTTAAGTTTAGGTAAACATTTAGCCTTTGTGGCTTTCACAGAACGCGAACAAACTAAGTTGCATCGGTCTGACCTGATCCTAGTTGACACTACTGAAATAGCTATTTTTAACATAAATAATTGATTTCATTCGAAGTTAACAAAACAGAGTGCGTTAAGGCGATACCCTGACCAAAACCTTGCGATATTGCGTTGTCTTCGTTATTCAAAGACTACCTATTATCTCATTATTTATGAGAAATAAACTACATCTAAAAGCAAATAATTAATGTTCGATATCCTATCATCACATTCCACATTCTAATTTGTTTTTATGTGTTATAAATACATTTAAAATCTACTTTTA